AAATTGTATTGAGCACTTTGGGTAGGAAAGCTTTATAAACACAGAGAAAAAACATTTCAGTTTAGAAATTTAACTTTATGTTTTCTGAAACATAAACCTGATGTTTAGCTGAGGTGTGCATAAAACTAAACAATAATATTTACTGCAGCAAAAATGGGCAACAGTAGAGAAAAAGACTAATGTTTGACTCTTTTGCTGACCAGCAGAGGGTGCTGAAGGACACAAAGAATAATCTGCAACCAGGTATTTATAAATACTCTGTATTTTCTTTAACCTGGGACATTTATGTAAATTTAAAAAAAAATTCAGGATGTTTTTTTTAACACACCTAAAGCCAGACTGGCCTCCATCATTCAAAAGCTCAGTTTGAAAACCAGTAATAAGAACTTTCATTCAATAAAATGACTTTTAAGCAGAGTTAAAAAGTGACAAAGTACAAATACTTAGTTACTGTACTGAAGTAGAGATTTTGGTTATCTGTACTTGAGTAATCATTTCTCACTTTCTATCCTCGTAGGGACTTTGAATTGACACCTGACGCTAAACCTAGCCTAAACTCATTTCACACTTTTTACTTCTCCTTAAACGTAAAAAGTAAAAGAAAAAAAAAAGTTGTTACTCCTTTTTCAATCTGCCTTCTTATTGTTAAAACAACAACAAAAACAACAACAACAAAAAAGTAACCAGATGAATTGTGCCTCCTGGATAGGTTGAACTTAACTGTAGTTGGATGAGAATTATAAATATTAGTGCTGGGCATTGATTTAAATTTTTAATCGAGATTAATCTCAAGATATTTTTGCGATTAATCGCAACAATTTTTTAAACAATCACTCTGCTATGGCTGAATGTGTTTGTATGTTGAAATATGTGTGACACACTGTGTACATTTTTGTTTTTCATTTTAACTTCTTGTTGCTTATTGTATTTGTTTTCCTGACAACAGGGGCCTCATCTATCTTTCGTTCCTTATAATACTCATTTGGAACGACAAAAAAATCCTTGAATTCTTGATTTATTTAATTTCATTATTCTGCATAAAATAGAACTGACTTGTTTAGAGCATTTTACGTATTGTTTTAAATAAAAAGGGGCAATGCATTTTCAAAAACTTTACACAAATAAGGCAAATCAAGCCAGTCTTACTCTTTCTCCCACACTCTGGTCAGCAGAACCTCCCTCTGTCTGTTTACCCTGGTTTTAAACTGAAGTGATACTTCAGGCTCAAACTGCTCTGGTGGTGACACAGTTTAGCGTTGCAGCGCTTACAGATAACTTTACTTCCTCCCTGCCCACCGTTGGGAAAGGTTTCAAAATAAAAAATGCTCTGAAGGATCCAGCAGCTTCAGGTATGTTTCCCTCAGCAGCAGCTGGGGTTCATGTGAGCGGCTGCACGCTCAACAACAAAGACTCTCATTGGATGAGACGCGTGATGAAGGCTTTCTAAAGCCAATTGTGATCAAGATCCCGCCTCCCCGCAGCGACCACTGGGTTTGTGTGTCTGTGTGTGTGTGCGTCTTCATAGACAGATCAGCGAACAGAGATCAGACAGAGAAATATAAAGAAACTGCGTTAACGCGCAATAAAAACGTTATCACCGTTAATTATCGGCTGCGTTAACGCAATAATAAAGCATTAATGTGCCCAGCACTAATAAATAGATAAAACAAATCACATCACACTCCAGCAGACATATCAGACGTTTGCAGCAGAGTATGAAGAAGACGTGGCAGAAACAGGTATACTAGTGCAAAAGTCATTGGCCTTTAGAAAAATGTTTTTTTGAGTGATCACCTCCAAATAAATGTCATTTTTTATGTTTTAAACTGATCACTGTCACCCAATACTTAAGTACATTTTATGTCAGAAAAGTACTTTTGATACTTAAAGGGGCAATATGATGTGTTTCTCAGGCATATATTTAAATACTATACCATAATAAAGTATCCATGTCACCTGTAGTTGTTATTAAAATGCTGCTTTTATGTTTAAATAGAAAATAAACTTATCTTCTCATCACTTCCTCTTCTAAACGTCTTGAAATTGGCCTCTGTCTCTTTAAGAACCACCTTCTGCTTCTGTTCCATCCCGGTGGGGGTGCGCGTGCGCTATGATGCAGTTTACTTGGCATCTGGTATTTTTAATCTGAGAAGAGCTTCATTAAGTGAAAACTGATGTTGAGAGCTCAGCAGACAGTTAGGTTTCACTTTCACTT